ATGCATTACCTTTGTAGGCCTACCTGTTTCACCTGTATAAATGTCAAGGGATAATGGCTTTGTATGGGTCCAGCGGGACTCAGAATGCTCAGAGCCTCCTCCACTGTCTTCAGCTGAAAAGAAACAAAAGCAGCATCCACTCACTGAGCACTGAGGACAAGGGACTTGCAAATTATCAAAGACCTTACTGGGTTGGACCAAACCCCTAAATAAACCTAATTGTTCAAATCCGACTCAATGCTGCTTCCCAGTGACCTCCAACCCTCTTCATCCATTCTCTAATTCTTAATGGAAAATAAATGCTGGTCCTCCTAAAACGAGTTTCAAACTTGCCTATTTAGAAACACAACTTCCTGCGAGGTTCTACACTGATTTGCTGTCTTCACATTTTTAGTTACCAACCAAAGCTGTTTCTGCTTGCACAATTTTGCTTCCTGGTAAAAAGAATATACTATTGATACTAAGCTAGCTTTGTTTTAGCAACTTTGTATTAAATAGTGGGGTCATTTTCTATTGCATGAAAAGTAATAATTCCCAGCTTTAAAACTAACCACCCTTTTCCTTAAGTAGCAGTAGCAGTCAACAAGTAGAAGATGCTGCTTTTATAAGAGTGATTAAAATTTGGTTAGTCAAGCAAAGAGACCACACTTTCTTAGAATGTAACACATGTATCTGCCACCAGGTGGAAAATGTCACAGAGCTGTCTGTTATACATCAAAGCACTTCAGTGGAACAACTGTGCAGTCATGTTTGGCATTTTGTTTCAAGATCAAAATTATGATGCTATTTTAGAATACCAAGATTCTTAAGAAATACGTAATTCTTCATGTTTTGTTTTTCTTATGACTTAACAGCCGTAGGAGTTTAGGGATGATGAGGGGAAAACCAGAAGACACAGGTGGTCAAAACAAATGGGTTTACGTCACTCATGACTGTTTAGTGAAAATTCTTGTTTTTTCTTTTTTCCCTAGAATAAAATGCCCTCACTTCCTTTTATTAATTTCTAATCCTCTCCACCCAGCCCCATTTATCAGATAACTCATAGATCAAGAAAATTAGGACAGGATTTTGCGATAGGGTTGCATAATTTAAGACTCGGACCTATCAAAATGCCCATGACTTTGGAGAAAACTTCTAAGAAATGGGTGAATTATGGAGAAAGAACTCCCAGCCGTAACAACATGGTGACGTTATTCAGGGCTTCTGGAACTGTTAACTTGACAATTGATTATTCAGTCCATTTGCTTCAGTTATCTAAGAAGCTTCCTATCCCCGCCCACTGCTCATCCTGTCAACATGCATTCATCGCCTCTTATTATCACCCCCTTCCTCAGAAACATCATCTACCCCAGCACACTCACAAATAACAAATTCACAGAAAAACAGTGATCCAGTTCCCCAGGCGTAACACAACACTTTCATTCATGGTGTCTAAATTCTACTTTCTCAACACTTCAATTTTTCTGTCTTACCTTTTCCAGAGTAACTTTTCCATATGCAAATTTTGGTGTGGATGGAGGGATAAAACCTTCTGGTACATTAGCAAACTGTAAATCAAGGTGGATAAAGACAGAAAAGACAAAAAGATTCAACATTCAGAACTATATGCAGAAAATTCATTTTTTTAAAAAGAATTTTTGGAAAGACAAAGAATTAAAAGATTTTCTCAAAAACAGAATCTGATATAGTTTTACTTCTAAATGTGTGTCTGTGTTTTGGGTGTGAGGGACCATTCAAACAATGATAGAACAAAAGACTTTCAAAACAGCAAAAACAAGCAGTCAGATGAGGTGACATCTGGAAGACTAGAGTGGGGGAAGAAAAATAAAAGATACGTGACAAAATAGAATCTGAAGGGAGATGGCCAATATCAAAGAGACTATTTGTACATTAAATCTGATTTGTGGGTTAAAGTTTTCTATTAGTGTCAAACTTGTGGTTATATATGAGCATTCTCCTTCCTATAAAAGTACACTGGTACTGAAGCATATAAGGGGAAATGGTCATAATGGATACAGCCCTCCAGTGGTTAAGAAGACAGATGAGGGCTTTCTGGTGGGTAGGGATTAAGTCTCAGCACCATCACTGCAGGGCCTGAGTTTGATTCCTGGCCAGGGAGGTGACCACATGGTGTCCTGTCCCGCCCGCTGCTCCCCTCAGCAGTGTATTATTTCAGTGGATCTGCCTGTTCTGCTCCCTACTCTGTCTCTGGTGAATAATCTCACCCCCCACACTTCTGGTTTGCACCCCAATTCTTCTTTGCTAAAAAAAAAAAAAAGACAGATGAGGGCAAATGATGGAACAAAAAGAGTGAAATGGTGCTGTGGATGAATGTGGGTGCACAACATACATGATCTTTGTGCTCTTTTATTCTTGAAACTTTTCTGTAAGTTTTTTTTCAGAGTTATTTATTTATGTGGAGTACAGGCCAGGGGTGTGGGCGGTGAGAGGATTCACCAGACAGAGTGGGAGCAGAACAGGCAGATGGACTGAAATACACTGCTGAGGGGAGCAGAGGGTGGGTCAGGAGAGGTCTGCCGTGCCATGTGGGTCACCCCCTGGGTGGGACTCAAACTCGTGCTGCAGTGGCTGTGGTAGCTTCATAGTGCTGTGCTCTAACCCACTGTGCCACCAGGGAGGGCCCTCTTTTCTATAAGTTTGAGTTCTTTTTAGCTATGACACTATGAATAAAAATCTCAAGTATTAAATATGTATTGGTATATACACATCAATAAGCATATTTACCTGCTGTTTCTTGCTTGATCAAGAAACATTGGTTAGCATTGACTTCTCTGATATATTTTAGTTTATTTGTATTGTTCCAGAGAGCTCTTTCTTGTCAACATGATTATAACACCATTTTCAGTTTCTCTACTGGTTACCTTTGTAGCTTTAAATAAAATTCAATCCCTTTGTTCCATTCATTAAGACATTTACCCTTTGAGCCTGACCTTTATTAATTTTTTTTAAGTTTTATTTTTATTTATGTATGCAAACAAGAACTGGGATATAGGTCAGAGATGCAGGGAGTGAGGATTCACCAGAGACAGAGCAGGGGGCAGAACAGGCAAATTGACGAAGTACACTGCCATGGGGAACAGCGGATGAGAAAGGAGAGGTCTGCTGTGTGGGTTCAGTGGCTGGTGACAGCTTGATAGTGCTGAGACTTTAACCCTTGTGTCACCAGGAAGGCTCCTGTGACCAAACTGTTAAAGATAGGCTATTTGTATGTCCCTGAGTTCTCTCTACTTTCACCTCTAAAACATCAGCTATACTAACACATTGTCAAGGTTAAAGGCCTGTCTGAGAGCTATAAGTTCTCCTTTCATCTTTATGTTGACTCTAACAATTCAAAAACAATCAACAGTGCTCACATAATTACAATTTTATAAGTATTCCTCTGCACAGTTCAGTGGTGTATACCACAAAGGCATGTTCTGTGGGTTCAGCCTTCTGTGTTCTTTCTCCCACTGGGCTTTCTAATTGACTATTTTCTTATTCCAAAATTTCTAAAGATGGTATCAAGTTTCTTCAAATATCGTCTGTCCCCTACAAACTTCCCCACTGGAAACCTCAGTCTTCTTGCCCAAAAGGACTAGCTCGCCTATGGGCTTGATACGCTAAGATTTCTCTTCATGTTTTCCTGACTTCCAGATTTTGTTTCTCATCTCTCTTCCTGTGACTTCCTCATTTCACTGAAGCAATGTCAAGTAACTTCCCAGCAACTGCTACGTGGCGGGTGAGCTTCCTAAAGCTTTGAATGTTTGAAAATGCCAAATGTAGTTGACGATATGGATGGGCACAGAATTCTGTGTCAAAAATCTTGTTATTCTTGTATGCTTAAAGGTGACTGGCTTTTTCTCTCTCAAAACTTCCAGGCACTCTATTCTGTGTTCTAAACTTGCCAAAGATATGTCTGGTTTTTCACTTTTATTTTGCTGGGTAACTCATATCCTTTCCTGCTTTGGAAAAAATTCTGTCTTCTTTGATTTTTTCTTTTCCTCCTTTTTTTCCTCCCTTACAAATAAGTTAGAGGAGGGTGAGGGGCGGGAACCAAGGCTACATCCTTGGTGGTGGATGATGGTGCTTTGGCGGTGGGTGCAGTTTGCTGATGTACATCTGAAGAGGTGTGAGTCTATGTACGCCTGAGTCAAAAGGTTTACAACAAAAGGTTGTAAAGCAACATTACCTCAATAAAAACAGTAATTACGAAAAAGCAAGTTAAACATCTAGAGCCTGCATTACATAACTCATCTCTTATCTCTCATTTCCATCCCTGGCTTGAGGCTCTAATCTTCAGGAGATTATATTTAGTTTCCAAGAACTCTTACTTTTTCTCCACTGCTCCTTTTTCAAAGCGCCCTGTTCTCATAGATGCTGTATCTCCTCACACCTCTCAGAAGACCATAAACTTGAGAGTTTTGTTTCAGAGCTCTCCTGTCCCCTGAATTATCTGTTGCCTTAGGGATAGTTTTCTGTTATTTCAGCTCAGTCTTTCTCTTTCCTGTTGAAGGTTTAAAAAATGTTCTTAAATGTCTAACCATCCCAAATATGTTTTGAAATCTCTCATGCACAGACAGCTTCCATCTTGTTGACTTCATAGCTATCATTTAGTAACATTTTGAAAGGGAAATGAGATAGCCATCTTGACTTGAAAGTCCTTAGAATTTCTAATATTCTATGAACCTAAATTTCTGTGAAATTTAAACAGATCCTATTAAAAATGATCATCATGCATTTTAAAATGAACGTCAGGCCAGAGTTTCTATTGATTATAAACAGAGAAGGTGACACATTTCTCTGCAAGTTCCCTCTTCAGCCCAGACTCCATTCCTTCTCCTTTGGCAACTGACCTACTCCACCATCACTTCCACCTCACATCCTAGCTAGTAAAATCAGAAAATGATCCCATAGGCAGCCTATGATTTTTTTTCTGCGTTTCCCTACTCACCTGCACATCGTAGGGACCATGTCATGTCTAACTCTAAAGTCGGGGGGATTCCCATCTAAACAGCTCTGCAATCTCTTCTCCCACGTCGGAAGAGACAGCCGTCACACGGACCCCTCTATACCACCAACATTTCGTTACTGTATGAGAGGGGTTACGTGCCGATTTTGACACCTCATTTTCTAGTCAGCCTCTAAGCTAGTTATTTTCTTTTAGAGATGAGACGGGGGTGTTTCTCAAGATTATAGCGAGGGTCAGGGAGGCAGCTGGGATTTTGACTCCACACCAACAGCAGTTTCTGTTGCTCCATTGTGCTACCTTTATTGTTGTAATAACAGAATAAAAAGTATCTTCACCCATAATTTCAAAACTCCGAATTTTGAAGTTCATCCCACCCCCAAATTTCAAAGACCCAAACTTTCTCTTTTACAATTTTGCTCCTAAACTCTCCCCTTATGTACATGTATGATTAAAGAAAAGGGTAACTTTGTACACTCCACTGCCTGACAATTTTATTATTGTGTATTACATTCAAAAGGATATGAAAGAATTTACATAATCATTCTTACAACAATAGTTGAATTATTTCCAATTTTTGATTTTATAAATAATATTGCAATGAGCAACTTATCTTTAATTTTTTCTTTAAATATAGTTTCCTGTGAAGGGCAACTAGGTCTTTAAAATGATAGAAACATTTTATATGATTTTTAATGTCGTATTCATCGAAAATTTCAACCACTTATCTAGACTTGTTTTTCAGCCAATTATCTATCTGGATCTTGGTTTTGAAATCAGTGATATGAACTCATTAGAATATCAATATTAAGCCATCTCTGTCCATCCCATTTGCCACAATCTTCTGTCTTTTATTTTTAATAATTTGGGGATTTCTCATTATCATATAGAAACACCTAACCTCCTCAACAAGTAGTGTTACCGAAAAGAAATGAAAGAATATACCAAAACACTATATTCTGAAACTTTCTAATGCCACAATAATCTGTGTTTTAATTATAGTTTTCAGATCAAGCATATGAAAAATTAGAATGAAATTATTTTTAAAAATTGGTCTGAAATTAATCCAAAAGCGGTCAATAGAAACTCACCACTGCCCCTCTCAGGGAGAAGAAGGGCACTGCCCTACAGTCATTCGGTTCATCTTCAAGGTCAAAGTGTTAACCAGAGCTGGCTAAGTTTTACCCACACCAAAGAGACGACATTAGAAGACATAATGTCATTAATTTCTTTCATGCCCTTTAACAGTCATAAGGGAAGAGGCAGCCCGGAGCCCTCACCGCTGAGCATATGCTGGTGAATCTGATATCCCCATGTCAGGGAAAGAGGTCGTCTGTCACTACCCAGCTCTGAAAAGGGTTACTGAGGAGGCCCATTCCACACTGTAAGTTTTGATGGAGGAAAAAAGCCAGAAAATGACCTATAAAAGGTATTCTCAGCCCCATTTCACATCCCCAATGCAAGAGGATGTATATAATTCACAAATTAGCTAACAAGTCTCATAACAAACACCCCCCCCCTTTTTTTTAAGCTACTGACTCCTTCATGGTCCACCCTACGCGGCCCACTGGGTCAGTGCCT